ATTGGGAATTTTGAATGCGTTTCGGTGGTATATCTGACAGATGTATTCAACCCATTTGAGTAACATGGATTTAGTTAGGTAACCTCTCGTCGATTAATTGCAAATAGCAGGATTCAGAGGAGGAGAGGGTGTCTCACAGAAGATAAGATGAGCTCGCTGGTTTTGAAGTTTTTAAAGCTGGCAGTATTTAGTTCTTTTTTCTTTCACTCAGTTTAACTGAAATTACAATTTTCATTTCTTTCCCGGCTGTGCCTTTTTCCCCTCTCTCAGTGCATTAGTTGTCTTGTCTTTACATTCCCAATTTTCTCGTGGATGCACATTTTCCTAAAGCTGAATTAACACTGACTGAAAGCTGTCATTCCTGTTAAAGATTGCTGTCACTGGCTGCTTCAGAAAATGACGACGTCTGAAATGTCTTTTAAATATTGGAGTTATGTGCAACACTTTTTCTCCTGTACTCATAAGTCTTCATTGCTTTTTCTCTCGAGACAAATCTGTTCCTGGCAGTTTGATGCAAGCAATAGTATAAACAACCGTATGTACTTTTTTTAACCAGTTCCAAAAGAAAAACCGTAAATGTTATTAAAAAGGTGGTTTAAAGGCAAGACTACACACATCAACTTGGCCACTTTAAGTGAGTAAAGTGAAGTAGAGCTGTTTACATACTAGGATTATGATACAAAGGTAAAGGGTTTCTAGCTGGACGTTTCATAAAAAAATGCAAGAAATCTATAATGTGATTCAATATGCTGCTCTGGATGCAGCTGACCCGAGTGAAATGTTTATGCCTCTGATCTGCTCATTACAATGCCTTCAGACCTGAGGAGTCCAAAATGGGGTTCTACATGAAGGCCAGGTGCCTTTTTTAAAGTACTTAAACCAAACATGAAATATTGAGCTCAGGGTATAACTGATAAGGAAGGGCAGTGATCTATAGGATGGAAGGGTAGACATTCTTATGAGACACTTGAACTCTAAATTTTGCATTTTTGTCCTGTCAACTTTATTAAATGACTTAAAATGGCTTACAATTGTAAGATTTCTAACATTATATAAGTGGTATACCTTCTGCAACAAAGGGAAAGGCTTATAGCTTGTGATATATGTATGGCTTATAGCTTGTCATTCCCTTTTCTTTTTCTAATTTTTAATGTTTTTTTTCTTCCTGTTTCTTTACCTCGCTTTAAATGCTTTTCTGTTGTGTGGCTGTGGTACAGAAATACCTTGTCCTTCTTAGATCAAGATCTGTTTGAGATAGAAATTCCAGGATATCACTCTCAGGACTTGTAAGAATTACGAATATGTGGGTCATCAGAAGATGAAGGGAAAGCACACATTTCGCAAGTGAATGTGCTCATCGGAGCATCACTTCCCCAGAGGGTTATAGGAGGGTATGCTTGCTTCGGTAAGAGAGGTGATTTCTTGAGGAAAAAGAAGCCACAGTAAATGGAGTGACTGACCGAAGCATAAGGGAAATCTGTCAGGACTCTTGCAAGCAAGAAGATGACTCCAAAGGAAACAGCACGTGCTTTTCTGTACTCTAGGGATAGAGTATGTGCCGTCTGTGAGTGGGAGAGCCTTCTTTCTCCAGAGAAACGGGAGCAAATTTGAAGGTGGACATTGGATGGTATGACTCCATTTGGAGGCAAATTAGATTTCTCCGTCCAGGTCTTTCCAGTCTGGGTAGCTTGTACATCTGTTGTCTTTTGTGTAAGGTGGCCTTATTTCCAAGGACTGTGTAGATAGCTATAAAATGTAATTAATGAGCTCCTCTTTTTTTTTTTTTTAAATTTCACTAATGTTTTCTGCAGTCATTACAGAAGACTTTTAAGTGCTAAAATTTAAGAAATGCAGTAAAAGTTACTGCTTTTATAGACCGTATTTCTTTTA